ACCTTCCTTAAAGCCGAGGACAAACCTGGCTGCCATCAGTGTTCTCAGATACAGGCAGCCAAACAGCCTGTAGACAAAACAAAAGAGAACTGAGGACATGCACTGTCATAGTCTTTTGACTGATTGGTTTTCTCCTGTTTGGGATTAAAAATGCCCTGTGTTATTTAACCCTTCGAAACCTTCATGCTTTCTGTATTCCCTGGAAAGTTGATTTTACACAATCTAGATTCATCTTAGAATAATGCACCACTTATATGTCTGATCTTCTCTGATCCTTACTAATGGAATTTCTTGGTTTCGAACTAAATTAAATTACGCCAGTCTCCTGAGGATTCAAGAATTTGTTTCTCCTCTATTAACTATTAATAAGAGACATTAGTTTTGACTTTATAAAGTCTTACTTTGTTATCAGCACAGACAAATTAACAAGAGACAAAACCAGAAAATGACGCTTTGTACATCATTATGGGGCTTAGAAAACAACGGAGGAGCTGTGAGATGGCAGAGCAGGTGAAAGTGCTGGCGGACAAGCCTGATGACTCAAGTTTAATCCCCATGACACACTTGATGAAAGTAGATGACGGCTGGATGCTCTTCTCTGACCTCCTCACATGGACTGTGGCATGCACTCTCCCATACATAAATGTAAAGTAAGATTTGGGGGGGAGTAAATTATAGTCCACATCACCTGACCCTACCAGGCTAAATGCCATTTCCACATCCATGATGACTTTTAGAGAGCAGTCTTCTTCCTTATGATTTGGTAAAAAGGCCTTACCCTGTCAGTATCACAGATACCATGCTTATCTGTATGGAACACCAATGCACCCTGTTATGCTTTGTAGGTGGGAGGATAAGTTGGCATAGTTATTATATAAAGTACTATTAAGTTTCTTTACAAAATGAACAGATCCATCAATACCATTTATGGGTATGTATCAAAAAGAAATGCAATCTATGTTGTGGATAAATGTCTAATGTCCCAGGTTCATTGTAGCACTACCACAACAGCTAAGATACATGGATGAATGTACTTTTTAAAATGTGTTCTCACTTACCGTGATAACCTGTGCATCTCCCTTATAGCAATTCTTGGCTATTTCAGATGTGTCCTATACACTACAGCTTTAAAAATATCCCTGTGTATTAAAATACAGATGAATACAACATGATGAAAGAGACCAAGTACTGATCTGGTTCTTAAATACATTTATTTGAAGACTGGAGCATTTAGAGCAAGTATGAAACCAGCAAGGATTGATGCACGGAGTTTCAAATATGTTACTAAATCAACCCAGGCCAGAGATAATATTGACTTAGACCAGGATGACAGGATGGATTTGGATATGGACGAATCTAAACACATTCCTGGCACTTCATGTAAAAAGAAATCAATGGAATTAAGTGAGTAGAAGAGAATATCTTAAAGAGGACAAGTAACACAGAGCAAGAGCTGCAGCTCCATGCTTTAGAATAATTTCATTACACAGGTTTGTTACTGCTAGGCTCTGCCACAGAAAAATTCATTGAATCTCTCTGTGTGTCACCTCTTCAGATCTGTAACTTGGTGTAATAGTGCCAGCTCACTATGGTATAAAACTCATATGGATTACAGTATACTCCAGACAGTCCTGAACTGTAGAGTGTGGAAAAGTTAAACTGAGCGTAAGCAATCAAGCAAGTTGGATGTGACTAGCTGTTGCCCCTGGGACTTGCCTGCCATGCTGGACTGTAACCTAGAATTATGAGCTGAGTCATTCCTTTCTCTGCCTCAGTTTTTGTCAGGATATTTTCTCACAAAAACAAAGCTGAAACTAGGATCTATTTTCTGGGTAGAAATGAGAGACAGAGTCAGGCAGAAGCATTATATGAAAGCACTAAATGACTACTTCAGAATATCATGGTCAAAAGTATAGAAAAAAGGAATATCCAATTTACATGATCCTCTGTGTGTGTGTGTGTGTGTGTGTGTGTGTGTGTGTGTGTGTGTGCGCGCGCGCGCGCGCGCGCGCAGGACATTTTGGAGAAGATAATGAGGAACAAGGATTTTCATTCCATCTCTCAATGTTAAAAGAAATGAAGATGAAAACATTTGGTTTCTAGAGAAATGTCTTATAATCATCAGCTATCAAAGGACCACAGTGGGAAAAAGCCCCCAAAGAAATTGAGGAACTTATTAACCATGTACCATCCTTGGTAGCAGGAATATTATAGAAAGTTTTGGAAGTTATGGTCCTCCCCTGTTTGAGTTCCTGTCCTGACTTCCTTTGATGATGAACAGTGATATGGAAGTGCAGGCAGCACTATTCATCATCAAAGGAAGTCAAGACAGGAACTCAAACAAGAACCTGGAGGCAGGAGCTGATGCAGAGGCCCTGGAGGGGTGCTGCTTACTTGTTCCTCATGGCTTGCTCAGCCTGCTTATGGAACCCAGGACCACCAGTCCAGTGATGACACCACTCACAATAGGTTGGACCCTCCCCCATCAATCACTAATTAAGAAAAAGCCTTACAGGCTTGCCTCCAACCCAACATATTCCCATGACCAGGAATAGTACACATGTGAACACACACGTCACTAATATATGACCATTCATGCTCAGAACTACACAGGTGACCACATGCATATGTACCAACATATACATCAGGACTCGGGATTTTCATGCATGTGAACACACACATATGTGTCAACATACGGCCTTGCTCAGGAACTGCCTGTGTGTAACAACACACATACACCACCATGTGGCCATGCTTGGGAACTGCACTTATGTGAAGACCACCATATGCACTGGCACAATCATACTGTGCTCAGGAATTGTATATATGTGAATAGCACATATGTGCTAACATGTAATTACACCTAGGACTGTCTGCATGTGACACTCACATATGCCCCAACATATTCCCACCATCCAGAACTTACAGTTAGGAGACATTCAGGTAATTATTGATTAATAATCTCCAAAGCATGCTGAGGTATAAATCAAGTAATCTCAGTGAAGAAACTTGTGGAATCTCTACTCTGCAGAAGTATCAAAGATGAGCCAAATGAAGAAAGCCTAAAATAACAAGAACATAGTTGTAATTTTGACACAGCTTAAATAAATGCAAAGTATGAGTCCAATAATACAAAAGTACTTCAGCATAAAAGAAAACAAAAGGCTTCTGGGTAGCTAGGAGAATACTTATAGAGTCCAATTTGTTTCAGCTCATTAAAATGAACTGAACAGGTAACAATACCAGCACTGTTCCTGCCAATTTGGCTCTATGAAAAATATTCAATATTAATTTAATAAGTATATACCTATTTGTGTGTTTACTGTCTTTCCAGGTGCTGTCAAAACTAAACTGACAGTACAAGAATACAAAAGGATTAGGTTCCAAATCTTATGCATTTCACATGCTGTCCACTTGCCACCCTTCTGGGCTGGCTGACAAGTCAAAAGAGGCTCCTGTTGGCCCCATTCACCCTGGAAGTCCAAGAGTTCCATGAGCTGTGAGCTGAGGAATCACAAAAGAGGAGGCCACAGACAGGGAACCAGTACACATAGCAGTATCTTCACTGCCCCACCAGCATGGACACACACTACTTCACTATGCATTTCTCCCTGGCATTCAAGAACTGGAAGGCCTATCCAAACTAGAAGACAACCAAGACAATCAAGGTCATTGTTACTGTTTTCTGAATGTGTCAGTATCTTACTTACTGTTTTATTGCTGTGAAGAAGCACCATGACCAAGGCAATCCCTATAAAAGAAAGCATTTAACTGGAGGCTTGCTTACAGTTTCAGAGGGTTCGTCCATGATCATCATGGCAGAAAGCAGACAGGCATGACTCCAGAGCAGTGGGTGAGCTTTTCATCCTGAATCACAGGCAGAGAGAGTGAACAAGACAGGGCCTGGCATAGGCTTTTGAAACCTCAAAGCCCATCCCTAGTGATACACCTCCTCCAACAAAAGGCCATAGCTCCTAATCCTTCCCAAACAGTTCCATTGGACTGTGGACCAAGCATTCAAACATATGAGCCTATAGGGGCAACTCTCATTCAAAGCACCACAGTTAAGAATCTGGTTCCTTCTGTTGGTTTCTGAAGCATCACCTCTAAGCTCTTCTCCTCACTTCTGGGTTGTAGGGTCCAGTCTCCTGACTGCCAGCTGGTGCTACCCTAAAGAGTAAATATTGCTAGGGAAGAGCGCACTAATTGGTTATCCAGTGCCAAACAGCCAGCCCTGAAAACATACATACAAGTAACATTATATAGATTAAAGAGGTTATGGTTAGGAATATGTGTGAGGTTATGGTTAGGAATATGTGTGTGTGTGTGTGTGTGTGTGTGTGTGTGTGTGTGTGTGTGTGTGTGTGTGTGTACATATATATGCATGCAATAACAACTGATGGCAAAAAAGGCCATGGATGTGACAGAGAGCAGGGAGGGGTATATGTGAATGTTTGAAGGGAACAAAGGGAAGCAGGAACTAGTGTAATTAAAATAAATCTCAAAAACTAGCAACAAACAAACAAAAAGATCTCAAAGTGAGGCAAATAAAAGCCAACCCTTAAAAAAACATTGCCTTTAGCAAACATACACATGCACACACAGAGACACAGACACACACACGCACACACACAGAAACGAGCCTCTCACACTAACCATGTGTACACATAAACCATACAGATAAGCACTAGAGATGCTCACTTAACCTGTTACTCTTATCAGTAAAGAAAGCAGGCCAGCTCTTTTTGAATCTGGATTTTAATTATGTACATAAATAGTGATATAAGAATGAGGAGTTCTAAGGCTTGTACATTATTTCCATGTGAAGGACTGCAGATTAGTTGGCCTGTAATATGGCATCACCCAAGATAGCAAAGAGGCTTAGTGTTGTTTTTCCTGAAGAAAGCCAGTTTACTATATCAAATACTGACTCTCTGCCATTTGTCTGTAGAAATACTGATTTACCGACTGGAGTTTCCAATGTTTACCTATAACTAAAAGAAAGAAAGAAAAATATAAGTTAACTGTACCCAGGAAAACAAAAATGACCCTAAAATTATGCATTTTGAAATTTATTTAGGTTTAAATTAATAAACAATATTTTTTTTTACATTACTATTTTCATCACCATAAAGAGAATGAGCTAGAGAACACTGTACCTAGTCTCATTTTGCAGACAAGTGAACCAAAACTCAGATTGTGTTCCATCCATACTCCATTCAGACTTTCAACCAGCTGAGTACCCAAGCATGCTGAGGTATGATGATGCCAAGCACATGCCTAAATGGCACACAGCAAATATCATGAACCTCTTGCCCTCTGAAGCCAGAGACATACTTCCATGTATCAGCTGAAGGACAGTGCAATCCTCATACCTTCCTTTACCACACATCCTTCCTTCCAGGAATGAAACACACAAAACTCACACCAAAGCCAAGCTTAATCTTCTCCAGAGTGTCTTTTCCTTCATATGTGATAAGCATGCTCAGGAACTAGAAGTTTATCAATATTTTTACATGCTGGGGATTGATCCCAGGGCCTCACATGTTAAGCAAGCACTCTAGCACTCAACATATAGCCCAACATCTGAGAAGCCAGTGACTGATTATTCACTTGATCTTTTAATGTAAAATCAAAAATTCTTAAACATGGAAACAACTAGCTAATTGTTCTCTCTCAGTTTAACCTTTTTTTGACTTCCTAAGAATTTAATAGATTTACTGTTTTGTTAAATTCTGGAAACAACCTATATTAACAAGGATTAAGTAAGCCATGGTAAAAGTATAGACTAGGAACTAACTATGTAAATAAAGAAGGGGCAAAGTGGACCTACAAATACTGATGGAGAATATACACAATAAATTAAGCTGAAGAAGCAAATTCATTATTGAACACACCTAAACATAATGCTGTCTATTAGATATATTAACAAAAAATGGAGCCTAATCCAATCACACTTTCAGATCCAACTGTTGCTATATGAGCAATAAAGACAAGAAAGGAATGAAAAGTGGAGTTGACACTAAATGGATGTATTTAGTCACCATTTGAACGTGGCAAATGTTTTTTATTTTTATTTTTCGAGACAGGGTTTCTCTGTGAAGCTTTGCGCCTTTCCTGGGACTCACTCTGTAGACCAGGCTGGCCTCGAACTCACAGAGATTCGCCTGCCTCTGCCTCCCGAGTGCTGGGATTAAAGGCGTGCACCACCACCGCCCGGCTGAACGTGGCAAATTTAAGACCAAAAAAGCCAAAGTTTTCAATGAATAAATGAAGAACAAGAAACTATTACATTTAAAAGACAATTAAGAGACTTATTCACTACAATGTGAAGGACAGATGATCTTTGAGTCCTAGTTCAAATAAACCAACTAAAAAAGTTATTAGTGAAAAGCCAGGATGGCTGTACAAGGCTGTATCCCCAGCACTCAGGAGGCTGCGGCAGAAGGATCACAAGTCCAAGACCTACCTGGACTACACAGTGAGGATGTGTCTGAAAAAATAACAGTAAAGTTATTACTGACACAAACAGGAAGATCTATACACCAGATATTAGAGGGTATTAAGGAATTACTGTCAGTTTCTTTTGGTATGATGATAAAATTATACATGCTTTCATGGAGTTTTCTGTGTACTTGCAGAACAATATAAAGAAAATGATCTCATTTTGTCAAAAAAAAATAAAAGCATGCAAATGTGTATCATCTATTTAAATACACATATACTAAAAAGTCTGTAATGTACCAAATTATGAACAGAAACTATCTGGAAAAGGAATAATGACCAGGCAAGCTTTTAAAATGTTTATCTGGGGTTGGGGTTTACTCAGATAGAATGTGTAAAACCCCAGGTTCCACCCCTAGTTTCCAAAAAAATAGTTACAACCAACATATACTGTTTCTATTTTTCTTGTGCACAGAGTGTATATGTGTATGCATGTGTTCATTCATGTGGGCATGCACGTGCACATGTACCTGTTGGCCAGAAGGTACATTGGGTATCTTTCTCATTGTTCTCTACCTTATTTTTGAGACACGGCCTCTCAATGGATCTGGAGTTCACTGAACTGCCTAGACTAACCAGTCATAACGCTCCAGGAATCCACCTGTTTCACTTCTCCAGTGCTGGGATTACAGGAACATAGATAGCACCACATCTAGCTTTTTACATGGGTGCAGGGAATCCAAACTTAGGTCGTCATGTTTACATGGCAAGCACTTTGCTGACTAAGCCATCTACCTAGCCCCCTACTGCTTTTATAATTAAAAACTAAACCACCAATGAAGTTCCAAAACTTCAGGACCAAAACTCAAGGTTGTATATACAGTAAGTTGAACACTGGTCTAGACTACCAAATGGCTTATTACCCAGTTTTTCTTTGTCAGATCTCATCCCTATAGAGAAATACAAACACTTCTGTGTAAAGTGTCTGAAGAACCTGTATGACTCTCTGGAAGCTCACTCTCCAGTATCCCTTCTGCTGCCATATCCACAGAAATGCTGATTCCGGGGTGGAGGCCAGGCCTCTGCCTTTTAACAAGAGCTTCTTGGTGTCAGTTATTAAATTATTTGTGTAACATCAGAGAACTACCGACTTTGCATTAGTATAAATGTCAAAGGAGAACTGGATTTGTTCTCTGTGACCTGTCAACCAGGATCAGGACCACTCTGTAGGAGTCACAAGGAACTACCTTTTGCTTCCTATAAGCAACAGCTTCCTAATCTAGAACTGTCCAAAGACAGATGCTCTGGGAAGTGTTTCCTATCAATGGAACAAGAGGGTGATGAGCAGAGCAACAGGGGATTCTGCTTAAGGCTAGGGGTTGCACTGTATGATCTCTCAAATTCCAAGTGATATGACTCTCTGGCTCTCCAAAAACATGGAGAGAGTTGAAAAAGTAAAACCTCAAACCCAGAGTTTTGTGAATTTGAAATAGCAACTATGATGTACAATACTATAACACAACTTTTTAAGACGGGTTGAGTTTTAGCTCACTGGTAGAATGCATGCCTGGCAAGAGAGAAACCTTGGGTTCAATCTCCAGTCTCTCTGTCTCTCTGTCTCTCTGTCTCTCTCTCTCTCTCTCACACACACACACACACACACACACACACACACACACACACACACACCCCTCTGGTCATAAAAAAAAAAACTCATGTTCATTTCAGGAAATGTGAAAAAAATATAAAGTTAGAAATAAAAATGCACGTTCAAATTTTCTATATATCTCCTGGTCTAACAAAATATACTGTCGCCGTTCTTCTCCAATAACTGTGGCTCTGGGCCTGTCCTCCTAGCTACTCAGGAAGCTGAGGCTTGAATATTGCAAATTCAAGGCCAGTCCAGGCAACTTCATAAAAAAGTGTCTAGAAAATAAAAAGGAAAGTAAGGACTATGGGTATAGCTCAGGGGTAGAGAGAATGTTTGCCCAGCATGTGTGAAGCCTGGGTTCAATCCCAATACCACAAAAAAATTTATACATGCTCCCATGCAATTAAGTATTATCGAGACAATAATAATCCTCTTTATAGATCTATCATAACTAAGCTAGTTTCATGCAGCTGAATATCTAGGTTATTTTTTAATTCCTTATAATTTGCTAATGATCAGGAAATCACAAGATCTATTATATAATTTTAATATATACACAAAATACTAATATAATTGTTTTTTACTTAGCAGGTGCTTGGTAAGTAAATATTAAACAAACAGACAAAAAGTAATAGTGAGTTGAACATAATACCAAAAGAAATTGCATTGAGTTTCTAACCTCTGTCTGGTTCTAGCTTATCTAAAAAACCCTAGTACTTCTCAGAAAGAAACACAAACATAATTACATAAGCCATGGCACTTAAAGCCAGAAATTAAAGACAGAATAAAATATGACTCTTACGTTTCCACATCAAGGTGAAAGTGTACTATAATTAGTTAATTAACAATAAATAATTTCAGCTAGCACTAACAGTGCTGAAAATAACCAGGTTTTTTTTTTGTTTATTTGTTTTATTCTTTACCTGATTAAAATGGGCAGAGCATGGAGTTTTCTATTTATTTCCAGGTGAATTCTTCACATTTCCTGGCTTGTAAAACAAAATTGAAAGCTTTAATGCAACTTGAAAAGAAATAGTGAAATTCAGCAAAGTGTCTTCAGTATTTGGCTGAATACAAACATGAAATATTATTATTTTCTTGGAAGGTCGTCAAGCCATTTTGTTGAAGGTCTGAGGTAGGGTGTCAAACAGCCTGGGAAATACGAAATTCTCACCTGGGGCTGCAGTTAGAGATGGTAAAGGTGGTTACAATACAGGATGACCCATTTCTCAGTAACCTGAAGAGATTAGTTGGTTTCCTTCAGTGCCCTCTTGTGGAAAGTAACTTGGGCACAGGGGATAGAAAAAAAGCTACAGGAATCCTTATTCTATAGATTCAGCCAAACGGTTGATTCCATAAAAGCAAAATCAAATCAACAGTGAAAAGATTTCTTATTTCCCCGAAGTTAGATTTAATTACTGCATGCCACTATCACTGTAGAGGGCTTGACACTTGTGTTATCCATAAGGGCCAATTCATTAAATGTACACTCTCAAAGAGGTTTCAACTGAACGACAACCATTCTGCCTGGCTACCCTTGGCAAACATATAATTAATTAGGTCATATCATACATGAAAAGAAGTATAGTGGGGGAAAATTCATGTGCTAAAGTTAAGGCTTTCCTTTCCTGTATGTTTCTAAGACTTAGATTCTGAAATCCCATTAATAAGAACTGCTTGGATATCAAAGATAAAAGTCAGGAACTGGCAGTCTGAACAACTCTGGGTTGCAGCTGGACAGGCCGTGAGGCTGTGCTTCTGTAGACTAGACTTGATGCAGGTGTCCCTGGTGGCACTCTCTCTCATCAGCACTCAGGACTGAAGAGGGGATGAAAAAGCAAGAACATGTGACTGATGGCCACTGCACAGCATAGCTTCTAGGCAACTTTAAAGCCTGCTGGGGTGGTTTAGAACCGTTCTCTATGTGTTGCTTTATGCCCATTATACCAGCATAATTAACACTGTCCTCTCTCATTCACAAGGGTACCCTAGTTTGGATGATAATATGGTCACCCATCTACATACCACAGCACTTTATAGGGGAGTTCTGGGGATCAAGACCATATGCACTGCTTGTGACTCAATATAAAATCCAGAAGCTTGTCTGATGGAACTCTACAGGCCCTAGTACTAGTGCTGCGCTCTCCCTGCACAGTCACTCCCCACCCCCCATCCCACATGTACACACATGTGAACACACACCTCACTACAGCCCCTTGGGCCTTTCTGCTGTTACTCAAGCTTGTCAAGCTGCTTTCTGGGACATGGTTTTTGCAAAAATGTACTCCTTGTCCTAGAATGGTCAATCCAAATTGCCTGGCAAAAATAATTATTCATCCATTTCTCAAGATTTTCCTTGTATCTTGTCCTTCAATTTAAGTTATATTAGAACCTTTAACACTTTCACTATTCCCATCTTCTTCCTGATCTGTATTATGTCCTTCATGTTTGAGTCTTTCATTAACCCAGAATCGTCATGAGCACATACTAGCCCTGGAACCTCCTATCACACAGCATTCAGATGTTTGTTGAATAAAACAAATGGAATAGAAGGGAAATTAGGGATCTAGTGAGGATCTTTGTTGCAAAGTCTAGGACCAAACACAGTGTTACAAACCTATAATCTAAGCACTTGGAAGGTAGAAGAGGGAAGACTGTGAGCTTATGGCCAGTCTTGTCTACACATAGAGTCTCGAAAAGGGGGGAGGGGAGGTTGGGTAAGCGATTCATTAAAAAATAAGAGATAAGGCCGGGCGGTGGTGGCGCACAGCCTTTAATCCCAGCACTCAGGAGGCAGAGCCAGGCGGATCTCTGTGAGTTCGAGGCCAGCCTGGGCTACCAAGTGAGTCCCAGGAAAGGCGCAAAGCTACACAGAGAAACCCTGTCTCGAAAAACCAAAAAAATAAATAAATAAAATAAATAAAAAAATAAGAGATAAGTCAAGTGTGGTGGCGTACACCTTTAATCCCAGCACTCAGGAGGCAGAGGCAGGCAGATCTCTGAGTTTGAGGCCAGCCTGGCCTCAAAAAACCAAAAAAAATTTTAAAAAGACATAGAAAAGGTAATGGCTAACTACTGGGTCTGCCATAAAAGTAATGTGGCTTCCCACCTAATTAAACATATTTACATCTCAATTAACTTACTACTTGCCAAGTATATCTAATGATATTCTTAGACAGTCTATCTATACCTGACAGTCTCCCAACCTCAAAAAATAGGGTGCCAAACTTACAAGCTTTTCAAAAATCATTCAGAAGAAAATAAGCAGGCAGAGCATTCCATTCTACTGATTGAGAAAAACAGTCTGTTGCTAAGAACATGGTCTTATTTAGATATGTATCACTTATAATAATATAAATCAGAACCAATCTCACTAAAAAAAAAATACTGAACCCATCCACCCATGACCACATTACAAATTAAGAGCTCTCTTGAGACTACACCATGATCTCAAAGGAAACAACATTCTCACTTCAAAAAGCAGCTTGTGATTTAAGAACAAGCCAAAAGTCTATTTTTGTGTTTTCAGAAAATTTCAGAAAAAATCTCCTTAAAAAATAATTTTCCTTATGTGATTTTAATGCATATTTTTCATTTTTCAATGTATTATTACCATGTGTATGAAGACAAATAACAATTTATGTTAGCACAACTGAAACCGTTTTTAAAAAAATCAAAACATTGGTTCCTAATTACTATGCACTGTTATGTAAAGGGGGATTGTCAGTGTGGTGGTTAATCTTCATTGTCAATTTAACTGGATTTGGAATCACCTAGGAGACACAGAGGTGTGTCTGTAAGAGTGTTTCCACAGAGGTTTAACTGAGAAGGGAAGACCTTGCCATGGTCATGGTCTCAGGTCCCAGACTAAACATAAAGGAGAAAGTGAGTGGAGCGTCAACATTCCCTGCACTATGCTTCCTGTTCTGTTAAGATGTGAGGAAATAAGAGTCACAGCTGAGAGCCATTTCCACCACCATGCCTTTCCAGCCATGACGGACTGTACCTTCAACCCAAGACCCAAAATACGCCCTCCCTCTCTTATGGTACCCCTTATCAGGTACTCCATCTCAATAATAAGTAACTAATACAGCCAGCCAAACATTGGAAGCACTGCAACCTCCTAAAATGTGTGAGTCCTAGAAAACACACACACACACACACACACACACACACACACACACACACACCACACACACACACACACACACACGGGTCCTGAACTATTTTTCATCAATTGCTTAACTCCTACAAAATGCAATTTCCTTACTTGTAAAATGGAGGTACTAAAAGAGTACCTGACAGGCTCCTGAGTAAAGAACACTCTGAGCTAGGTTCAATGGATGTGACCTACTGTATATGATAGTCTGTATATACTGTATATATATAATAAAAAGATACGTACTGTATATGATATAATAAAAAGTAGCTAATAAATGGAACTAGCCTAAATGTCTATTAGAGTAGATAAATGGACAAAGAAAATGTGGCATGTATCCCTTAGTAGATGGATTATAAACAACAAAATTTTTGTCATATTTGCAGAATAATTATATTTGCAGAATATAATTGGATACAACTGAAGATTATTATGTTAAAATAAGCCAGACTTGGAAAGACAAAGACTGAATGTTTTCCTTCATATGTGGCTCCTAGATTTTAATTTGTATATGTATATATACATGCCTGTGTGGGTGTAGGTATAGGTATGAAACTAGAAAAGTGAACCATGAGAGGTGAAGAAGGGGTCTTTAGAGAAGGGGGGTACTAGAATATATCTGATATTAATTAAATACAGGGGGTTACTGTATAGAGAAGGAAGGCTAAAAGGGGGCCAGGGGGATGAGAGGTGGGAGGAAGGAGGATCAATAAGAACAAAGTATTTATGGAAATGCCAGAAGAGAATCCATTATTCTGTATGCAAATGTAAGAAAACAATGCAAAAGTATGAAACAAGCAGTGAGGACAGATGACCTGCTAAAGATGCCAACAAAACTCCAGTTCACTGGAGCATGACAGGCAGAATGTGGCTCCACAGATGTCTGTGTCTGAGAGCCTGTTACTGGGCCACCTTCAGATGAAGCATGCATCAGAATTACCCTGGATTATGTGACTGGGCCCAGCGGAATGTGAAGAGTTAATAGAGTCTGAGGAGGAGGCAAAACAAGGGGGTCAGAGAGAGGAGACTTGAAAAAGACCTGTGTTGCTGCTTCTGAAGACGAAGGAAGGGGACTGCCAAGGAAGTCTCCAGAAACTGGGTCAGCCTCAGTTGCCAGGCAGCAAAACAGACCCAGGTTTACAACAGCAAGGAACTAAATTCTGTCAACAACCTAAGGGAACAGGAATTCTGCTCTAGGGCCTCTGGAGAGGAATATAGTCCTGCTGACACCTTGATTTAGTACTGGACTTCTGACTTACTGTGCAAAGATAATAAATCTGCATTGTGTTCAGCTGGAGTATATTTATTGTTTTCAGAGACAACAAGAGACAAGATTGTGCTGGAAACTTCAAAATTTGTTACGAGCACAGAGTGTTATTTAGCAGTAGAACACTTAGCTGGCCTGTATGCAGGAGCATGGCAAAACAGTACGTATCTGTTTAGAGGGTAGGTCATTTACTGTTCCTACCTTAGAAAATTAAAGAGAAAGGAAGGATAGTGTAAGAGATTTGCCATAAAGCTAAAGTTCTTCTGAATATATGCCATTGCTCTTATTTAAGACTATTAGAAATAAAGGAAGTAGGTAATGATATTTTTTTAAATAAGATTGAAGAGCAGACCTTCAGAACTTATTCATCTTGTTTGAAACTTTCTACCCATCAATTAGCAACCTCCCATTTCTCCCTCCTCCAGCCCCTAGCACCTACCATCAGTCAACCTTTGCTTCTACGAGCTTACTAACTCCATATACCTCACACAAGTGGAACCACATGGTATAGGACCGTCTATGACTAGCTTATTTCAAAGGCAAAATTTTTTATATATAACATAATTCTTTATTGACTCTCTGGGAATTTCACATCATTCACCCAAATCCCGCTCACCTCCCAGTCTCTCCCTATCCACCCTTCACCTCTGCATCGTCCCCCGAAAAGAAACCACCCCCAAAAAATTAAAAACAAAAACAAAGCCACCTCGCTCTCCCATCTTTCCTGCCTCTCCAACACTTCTTCATTCATCCTAGTGACACTGGAAGCTTTAGTGTGTCACACAATACACCCTTTTGTCCAATCAGCTCCACCCACAAATGTTCACTGCGATGAGTCATTGGTCTGGTTCAAGGCCTCTGGCACTCCATCATCAACCAGACCCTCGCTGAAACTCCTCTTGTATATTCAAAGGCAAATCTTTGATGATCACGTAAGTTACTCTCAACTAAACTTGTGTTTAAAGAGCTAAGAAATCTAGAATGGAGGACAAGAATGAACAATGTTTACTTAGGGTGGTGGCTGCTGTTTCTCTTGCGTTTTCCCGCTGAGCAAGCAAAGGCCGGACTAAAACTGTTAAAAGCTCAGCTTGAGAAGTTCTACTCAGTTTTCATGTTGAGAAAAGTTTGTATTTCTGTGTTTTTCTGACCTTCAAATAATTATTTTTGGCCTTTAACACTCATTTGAAAGTAACTTGCTGCAGATTTTAAAAAACATGGTGAAAAGCAAAAATCTGACATTTACTGGGAGATAGTTGTGTTTAGCTAATAATTATAAGAGAACTCGAGCTCTGTGGAGCTGCCTATGGTAGACAGGCATGTAATCCTCCCAACAAATAGGAGGCTGAAACACAAAGACAGCCACATGTTCCAGGCTACCCTAGACTACAAAGTAAGACCCTGTCTTTTAAAAGAGCTATCTGTGACTCTAAGGACTGATACATGAAATTGGCCTCTACCTCTGCTCCTCAAATCTGAGGGCTGGGATTATTCTGAAGAGGTTTCAGATTAACAATGAATAATCAAATACCTACATTCTTATTAAGTTTCTAGAATAAAAGAATTACAGAGAAGATCAGTAAGTCAACTATAGAAAGGATTTTTTACTATCTAAACAGTAGCCATGGTGTACATGAGATCCCAGCACTCCTAAGAATGAAGCAGGAGATCCTAACTTCAAAGCCAGCCTCGACTACACAGCAAGACTCTCCTCACAAAAACAAGACAAACAAGACTTCTGTGCCTACATAGAGCTTATCAAAGGATCCAATAGAAAGCTGCTCAAGCAGCCTCTGGGTTAGCTTGCCCTTTTGCAGGCACTACAGAGAACTGCTAACTGTATGTTTCCAATCAGCAAAACCCATGTAAGAAACACCATAGGCCAACTGTGTCAGATTCTTTCAACAAATAAAAATAACAGAAAAGTAAAAAGGCTTGTTAATTAAGGATCTTAAAACAAACAAACAAAAAAAGAGGTAACTAGAAGTCATAAAAAACTTGGCCTGGTGGCACACGCCTTTGATCAGGAGGCAGAGGCAGCCTTTGATCAGGAGGCAGAGGCAGGCGGATCTTTTGAGTTCAAGGCCTGCCAGGGCTACACTGTGAGTAAGAACTTGGGGGCGGGGGAGAGAGGGAGAGAGAGAGAGAGAGAGAGAGAGAGAGAGAGAGAGAGAGAGAACACTAAAGTGAAAGGATTAAGTACTAAGGTGATAAAGCCATAAAGAAAGGTAGCCAGGCATGCTGGCTATAATCCCAGCACTGATGAGGCAGAGGTAGGAAGATGACCAAAAGTTGGGGGCCACCTGAGTTACACAGTAAGCTCCTGTCTCAGAAACAAAATGAGAAAGTTATTACGATAAGATCCAGGCAAGCAGCAGCTGTTTCTGAAGAGCTGGAGAGGGCTGGGCCTCAGATCAGCTCCACAGAGGGTTAAGTGGGAAGCTGGCTGACTCTTATTCATCTTAGATCATGGTTAACAAGTGTTTGCCTTTAATAATTCCCAGCTGTAAAAAGGGTTTTAGAAGGTTCTAAAAGGTTAAAAGCAGTTTAGTAGGGGAAACTAAAGAAATCTTGAGTGTGAGATATATATTAGATAATATTACTTTCAACAGTGAAAGAGCTTTCCTGGGTATGATGTTACCATTGCTGTTCATATAAATGAACCTTCATATTCTTTGGAAATACATACTGGATTATACATGATGTATGAAAAGTGTAATGAATATCTAGAACTTTCACATGGTTCCATAAAAGAACATACATGTGTGTATGTGAACAAAATGCATGTATTAAAGGATGGTAAGACAACATAGCAGATACTAATTAGTGAATCGAAGTGAACATGCTAGTTTTGCAACTGTCCTGTAATTTTAAAACTTACAGCTTTGGATGGTGGCTTATGCCTTTAGTCCCAGCATTCTGGAGAGACAGACAGGTGGATCTTTGTAAGTTTGAGCTCAGCCTGGTCTACCTAGCCACGGTTACATAGAGAGATCCTGTCTCAACAAATAAATAAATAGATAGATAGATAGATGAAAACCTTATTTATTTATTCCCTCTCCCTCTCCCTCTCCCTCTCCCTCTCCCTCTCCTCCCTCTCCCTCTCCCTCTCCCTCTCCCTCTCCCTCTCCCTCTCCCTCTCCCTCTCCCTCTCCCTCTCCCTCTCCCTCTCCCTCTCCCTCTCCCTCTCCCTCTCCCTCTCCCTCTCCCTCTCCCTCTCCCTCTCCCTCTCCCTCTCCCTCTCCCTCTCCCTCTCCCTCTCCCTCTCCCTCTCCTCTCCCTCTCCCTCTCCCTCTCCCTCTCCCTCTCCCTCTCCCTCTCCCTCTCTCTCTCTCTCTCTCTCTCGTCTAGAAGCAGACCGATCTCTGGTCTACAGACATGAGTTCCAGGATAGCCAGAGCTGTTACACAGAAAAACCCTGTCTCAAAAAACCAAAGAAAAGGTAAACCAACTTCCAACCAAGTCTCTCTCTCTCTCTCTCTCTCTCTCTCTCTCTCTCTCTCTCTCTCTCTCTCTCTCTCTCTCTCTCAAAATAGACACTGGTAAGTATTTATTTATTCTCTCTCTGTGTCTCTGTCTCTCCTTCCTCTCCCTCAGAGTTAGATGTGGTAGTGCACACCTGTAATCCCAGCACTCAGGAGGCAGAGGCAGGTGGATCTCTGTGAGTTCAAGGCCAGCCTGGTCTACAAAGCAAGTCGAAAAACAAAACAAAAACAAAAAAAAAGCTGCTCATAGTTCTGTGTACAACAGTATGCTGAAAACTACCCAATTAGCCATCATTGGATATATTTTTCCACACAAAAATATATAGTCTACAGAAGTCAAAATAAGTAAGCTACTGTCTTATATTGCTTATAATCATAATATTAAAGGGAAAAAATACACATAGTAAGGCTCAACTGAGGTAGTTTCTATGTTTATATATGGTATATGTATAAGCCAAGATAAAGGAAAACTACCCAAGCTAAACTGTGTGAGAGGAGGGCCCACACTTACAATCCGAGCACTCAAAAGACTAAGGGAGGAGACTCGGGAGTTCAAGTCATCCTCAGCTGTATAGTGGACTCACGGCTAGTCAGGACAGCATGGGACCATGTATAAAACAAACAAACAAAAAGGAACATGGAAAATCAACCACAGTGTTTTATAATCTATACCTACATGGTTGAACACAGAATAAAACTTTAGAGAAAAACAAGGAGTAAAGAAACACATGTCAGTTAGTGTTCCCTCTGGAAGATAGGAGGGGCCTTGGTAACTTCCTAGTTCTGAAGGTAGGTAGATGATTCAGACATGTGTGGCTATATTGTTGGACTGGAAACTGTATTTATGTCATATATTCTTTCATAGAAAAAAGAAACACAAACCATGTTGTGATGGCAGTATTTCTGGATACAGTTATCTTTACATTTTAGAGAAGTTCATTTTAGCTGAAGCAAATAACTTTTAAGTGACCAATGACAATGGCAAAATAAAATATGCCTTTATCCTAATAACTATTAGAAGACAAAATGCAAATGTTTAGAATCAATTCCTAAAAAGGAGATGGGGCCGGGCGGTGGTGGCGCACGCCTTTAATCCCAGCACTCGGGAGGCAGAGGCAGGTGGATCTCTGTGAGTTCGAGGCCAGCCTGGTCTCCAAAGCAAGTACCAGGAAAGGCGCAAAGCTACACAGAGAAACCCTGTCTTGAAAAAACCAAAAAAAAAAAAAAAGGAGATGGAATATGGCAGAGCAGCAAAATGCCACAGATTTGTTTTGGGTACTTGAGAGTACTATAGTTACATAGAAAAGAATACAGCTAAGACCTGAGCCACTGATGGACAGGGTAGCACACACCTATATCAAAGTTACTTAGGAGACTAAGGCAGGAGAACAGTGTGTTTGAGGTGCCAGACTCTCCTATATGGGAAGAAAGTCTCAAACAAACAAACAAACAAGAAAAATCCTGGTCATCATTCACACCATTTTAATTTGTGTATCTGTGTGTGTGCAAATGTGCACAGTGTACCTACTTGTGCGTGTGTGCAAATGCACCGCACACGTGTGTGTGTGTGTGTGTGTGTGTGTGTGTGTGTGTGTGTGTGTGTGTATGTGTGTGTAGGCCAGAGGATAACACCAGTTGTCATCAGGTGCCATTTGCTCATTTTGAAGAAGGGGTCTCACCGGGCAGTGGTGGCGCACGCCTTTAATCCCAGTACTCGGGAGGCAGAGGCAGGAGGATCTCTGAGTTCGAGGTCCACCTTGGCTACAAAGTGAGTTCCAGAAAAGGTGTAAAGCCCTATCTCGAAAAACCAAAAAAAAAGAAGAAGAAGAGGAGGAGGAGGAGGAGGAGGAGGAGGAGGAGGAGGAGGAGGAGGAGGAAGAAGAAGAAGAAGAAGAAGAAGAAGAAGAAGAAGAAGAAGAAGAAGAAGAAGAAGAAGAAGAAGAAGAAGGGGTCTCACTGGCCTGGAGCTCTCTTATTAGGTTAGGCTGGTTGTCTAGAGAGATCATGGAATCTACCTACCTCCACCTCCACAGGGCTGGGATTACAAGGGCATGTCAGCATGCCTAACTCTTTTTATGTGGGTTCTAAGGTTCAAACTCAGATCCTCATGCTTGCAAGGCAAGTACTTTACTAAGCTATCTCCCCAGCCTGCATTTAAGACTTTAGGTTCCTGCTTTAAAACACAATGTCCATTAATTTCTTTGACTGTACACACCCCAAAATATGTACTGCATCACTACAGTACAAAAAAATCCAAGTTAGAAAACACTTAACTGAGACTGGTAATTACACCTGACTTGAGGGCAGTGGCAGCACGCGCCTTTAATCCCAGCACTTGGGAGACAGAAGCAGACCGATCTCTGGTCTAAAGACATGAGTTCCAGGATAGCCAGAGCTGTTACACAGAAAAACCCTGTCTCAAAAAAACCAAAGAAAAAGTAAACCCACTTCTAACCAAGTCTCCCTTTATAAAGTGCCCCACCCCAGCAAGTCCCCTTCAAACAGCCTTTTTCTGTGCCTTTCTTCTGACACTTGTGTTTGTTTTGTATTTCAGTTGTATGCTTCATCCCCGCAACTATGTTATGAGTTGATATATATTTAATTGCTCTGATATTCAATGAAGAAAATATACTCAGCTTCAAGGCCCCCAAAGATTCCTGTCCAACATTGCTTAACTCTTTGCTCTCAATTCAAAAACAAATTCATGGAGCTTAACTCACAGGTTAAGATCTGTTCCTGCAGAGAACCTTAATTCGGTTCCCAGAACCCACATGGCAGCTCACAACCGATGGTAACTCCAGTTCCAGGGGATCTAACATCCTTTTCTTGCTTCTCTGGGCACCAGGCATGCAGATGGTGCAGACATACATGCAGAAAAAGCACTCATACTCATGTAAAAATAGTAATAGTAGTAGTAAATTAATGAAAAGAAACCCTTCACCATATGATTAACATGCACAATGAAAAATAAACACATGAAAAACAAAAATAAGGGGGCTGGAGAGACGGCTCAGTGGTTGAGAGCACTGGCTGCTCTTCCAGAGGACCCACGTGGCAGCTCACAACTGTCTGTAACTCCAGTTCCGGGGATCCAACACCTTCACAAAGATATATGTGAAGGCAAAACACCAGTGCACATAAAATAAGAGTAAGTAATTTTTTAAGGTTTTTAAAAAAAGAAAATTAAAGTAAGAAAGGGAGTCCTCCTACAAGGAGGTCATCGACTAAAGGTTAAAACCATTGTTTTCCTGCTTTCCACTTATTCTCAACTGCAAATAGTCTTGAACCATGCTGTCCTTCTGCTGGGTTATAATTAGCATTTGACGAAATAGTTAATTGAAATGTACCTGTAGTTTTAAAAAAGTCCAAAGACCTCTAAAAACCATGAAATCCAACAAGGTGCTGGGGGGGGGGGTCGTCATAATATGTCATCAGAGAAAAGGGTACTTCATTATCAAATAATTTCTGAAATCTAAGTCTATCAAACCTTGATCTAATATGACTCCCTACTATTTTTCTCTGAAAACTTGTAGTAAACATCTAACATAGTGAACATCAATTTTCTTTCTCTTGCTGAGGACAGCCATCAGGAGGAGTATGCTTTGCTGGGTAAATCCATGAAAGAGCACTATAAAGTTCCTAGTCACTTTGAAAAAGGCAGCGGTGTAACAGACAAAACACAACTGTAGACCCATAATGATGAATTATTTACTCATTTCATTTTTATTTTATGTGTATGGGTAATTGCCTCCATGTATGTCTGTGTACCACCTGCATGGCCAGAAGATGTGGAGCACCTGGAATTGGAGTTACAGACAGTTATGAACTGTCATGAGGAAATTGAATCCGCATGTGCGAGAAGAGTAGCCAGTGCTCTTGACCACTGAGGCATCTCTCTAGCCCCCAATGATGAGCTACTTAGAAATCTTTACCACCCAACTCCAAGAAGACTTGCATAAAAAAATCTATGAATAGCTTTAAATGCCTTGGGTTTTATCATTTTTTTCTTCCTAGGGTCTTCAAATTACCACAAAATGTTGGTCTGTTTAATTTGTTCCAACTACAGTCCTGCGTTAGGTTGAATTCTCTGAACAGAGAAAGGGGTTTCCCAGTGACACCAACCTTTGCTTTGGTGTGCATGCATGTCTGCAGACATCACAGCAACCCACAGAGGCTCCTAGAAGATCCTCCTCTAAAGTTAGTATGCCCTAGTCTGTGGTTGCACCACAGCCCAATGAGCAGTAGATACTAATTTGGTCTCCCTTTTCATGATTCTTTCCAGAGACATGTACAGTTTTTTTTTTCTGATGTTTAATTTTTTCCCATATAAAATTCTGGTGTGTGCTTGTTAAGGAGATTTTTAAACAGGTAAGAAGGCTTCCAAAGAAAGTATCAGAAGTGAAAATAAAAGTAGGTTTATTCTTTACAAGGCAGTGCCAGGTGACATGTGATACTGATGCAGAATTTCCTTCTTAAGAGCTAGTTCAGCCAGCCCTGGTTGTTCACACTTGTTATCAGAGCACGTGGGATGCCGAGGCAAGGACTGCTATGAGTTGGAGACTAAAGGCTGGGTTGGGTTTTTTGTTTGTTTGTTCGGTTTTGTTGTTGTTGTATTGAGTGGTAGTGGGGACTGAACCTGGGGTCTTGCACATGCTACATAAGCACTCTACCAATGAACTATATCCCCAGCCCTTAATAAAAGAGCTAATTTAAATGGGCTCAAAGGGGACTAACTCCTTATAAACCACCAGTATAAAAATCAGTCTTGGGGCTGGAGAGTCTGCTCAGTGGTTAGAGCACTTGTTCTTGCAATGAACTCATATTCAATTCCCAGCACCCACATGGTGACTCACAATCATCTGTAACTCCAGCACCAGGGAATCCAACACCCTCTTCTGGCCTCATGGGCACTAGGCACACATGTGGGACACAGACATACATGCAAAGAAAACATTCATACACATAAAATAAATAAAATCGGTCTTAACATTGCACTGAAAGGCTATTTATATATACAATGAGGAGGGCTTATAATTTACTCTGATTAATGTTACTCCTAAATCCTGATATTTACACATATATATGTATGTGTATCTGTGGTGCTGGGGCTTTGTGCATACTAAGCTCACATTTTTCTCTTCCTTTTTTGCTACTAAACCACAACTCTAGTGAATCTATTTAAAGACATTTTGATGAGTGCATATTGTGGTACAAAATAACGGGCTTCATTATGACATTTTCATGCATGTATTTAATATACTTTGATTATAATTGCCTTTGTTACCTTCCATTTACATATTTTATGAGTATTTTCTTTTGAAATAATTGGAGTCCAAATGAACTTGCTTTGATCTATGCTGCAGGTTTGTTAACAAAAGAGCCCCAATTTGCCTTTAGCTGGATATCTGAACACACAGGAGGCACAATGCCTTGTTCTGTACTGAGTCTGCTTTATCACAAAAAAAAGAGACCATTTCTACAGGCCACATGCAATCAGCTATGTGGCCACTAGGAGACTTGAAAAGTGACACATCCTTATGATGGCACAACCTCCTCTTTCTCTGCTACTCATCCACCAGATAACACAGAGAATGTGTGGCCTATGACAACTCCCCAACACATTTGAGCCTCAAATGGGAGATGAACAAATAATACTAAAGATAAGAACAGAGCTTATGATTAAGTGTAAAATCAAGGGAGGGTATATGTCTCAATTATCCTTTTTTTTTTTTCTTGAGAGCATAATATATTCCATTGGAGTCCAGGGCTTTTTTCTTTCAAGACAGGGTTTTCTGCGTGTAGCCTTTGCTGCTGTGGAACTCCCTCTGTAGAGCAGGCTGACCTCAAACTCACAGAGATCTGTCCACTCTGCCTCCCCAGTGCTGGGACTAAAGGTGCCACCACTGTCTGGCAAACCCAGGGCTTTTTTACATTACTTAATTACTTTATGTGTGTAGATGTTTTGTTTGCATATGTGCTTATGTACCACGTATGTGCCTGGTGCCTTTGGAGGCCAGAAGAGGCAGATTCCCCAGGAACTGAGTGACAGACAGTTGTAAAGCCACCACGTGCTAACCCAGGTCCTCTGGAAGAGCAGCCAGCGCTCTCAACCACTGAGCCATCTCTCCAGACCCAAGTATTTTTAATTTTTTAATCACATTTATTGTGTGTGTGTGTGTGTGTGTGTGTGTGTGTGTGTGTGTGTGTGTGTAGAAGTTAGAGAACAACTTGTGAGTTTTCTCTTTCCACCATGTGGGTTCATCTCACTGACCTTGAATTCATTTATGGTACAACTGTTAGACAATACGCTTCACTCTGAGGAAACTATATATAGAACAAAATAGTATAAGGCTACATTGGGATGCATTTTAGTCACCATTTTTTGACCTATTGATAATAACCAAATACTCAGACATTCTACTAATCTTCCAAAAAGGAAACTTCAAAAGCTGAGTAGGAGATATAACTAAAAGCCAACAGAAAAAGCAATTAAAGGAATAAGGTTATTTAAGTATTTTACCAAACTTTAGAAGAACCACATATTTAAACCAAAAGGAAGATAATAAAAATGTTTCTCACCTTCTGAAAATGTTCCTTCCACAAATCTTCTACAACTATGTACCCTCGTAATCCCCAGTCATATAACTTCTCCCCGCTGACCTTGAAACACAAATAGAAAAGATTGATGAACGTTCCATTTGTGAATGATAAACAAGAGAATTTTTCTCCTGTCTACAAAAGTACTGCATTTGACTGCTGTGTGTGGGGGTATGTAACTACTATAGGAAGTTGTGGGACACATCCATTAAACCTGCATAACATTCAATGGTAGAGCACTTAACTAGGAAACATCGTGGCTTCAGTCTCTATTAGCACAAAAGAAAAAGAAAAGATAATACTACCTCAGTTTGGTGGCTCACATCTATAATCTCAGCACCCAGGAGGCTGAGGCAGGTAGGTTGCTGCAAATTCAAGGCCAGCTTGAACAACAGAGTGAAATCCTGTCTCAAAAGCAAAAAAAATATAAACAGAAACAAGTAAAAAATAAAAATAAAAATAAATGAAAAACCAAAGATAGGAAAAAGGACGAGAAGAAAATGGTCTGGTTACATTTAGTTATCTCTTAAAATAGCTTGATAAAAATTGTAAGTATATATATTTTTATGACTGGTGCTAATGATCAAACCTGGGGTATTATATATGTTACTGATACCTTCATCCCAGCTCCCAGAAGATGTATCTTCTAAACTAAATGTAGGAGACCACTGATGATATGGAGAATTCTTAAAATCATACAGAGGAGGAAACTTCTACCTAACCCATCTAGTACATTACAATCAACCAAGCCAAGTTAAGGTGAAAAAAAAATCATTCATTCCTTTTAAAGACTTAGATATAAAATATGTGAACCCAATGAAGATACATACAATTTTCCTAGGCACAGCCATGATGAAGTCTTTTAATTACTATAGAGATTTTGTAGGTAGCATGATCCATAATCATCTTTCCAACATCCCATGAGTCCCTGGCCTTAGAGAGGTCATGACCTTAAAATGTATTTGCCTATCTTTGGCTATCTGGCTTGAATTACTAGAATTTGTGTGTGTGTGTGTGTGTGTGTGTGTGTGTGTGTGTGTGTTTCAGTGTTTTGCCTGTATGTATATAGCATACCACACACGTGTCCAGTGCCTGTGGAGGTCAGAGGAGGTCAGAAGAGGGCATCAGATCATCTGGGACTGGAATTACAAACAGTTGTGAGCTGTCATGTGGGTGCTAGAAATCAAACCTGGGTCCTCTGCAAAAACAAGTGCTCACAGCCACTGAGTCAACTCTCCTGGAAACTTTTTTCCCAAGTAGTGGGCCTTCAAAAAAATGCTTCTAGTAATTTGCATTCATTGGTTCTACTTATAACAAAGAATGCTGATTGCTCTACTCCATAATAATACTTCAAAACTGTTTTTATTTGGTGTGTGTGTGTGCTCTTGTGCACACAGGCACATGTATGTCTGCCACATGCACACAGCTACACGTGGAGACCAAAAGAGGACATCAGATCCCTTGGACTGGTTGTGAGTTGCCCTGATGTGGGTGATGGGAATCAAACACTTCTGGATAAGCAGTAACAGCTCTTAACCATGGGGCCATCTCTCCAGCTCTTAGATTTTTGTTTGTTTAGTTTTTGAGGAGACAGGGTTTCTCTGTGTTGCTCTGGCTGTCCTGGAACTCACTTTGTAGACCAGGCTGGCCTCTAACTCAGAGCTCTGCTTTCCTCTGCCACCTGAGTACTGGGATCAAAGGCGTGTGCTACCACTTAGAACTCTCTTCTTAATTTTTATAATTAATCTTTGTATAGTGCTGTTTTACAAAACACTTTCACATGAGTTATCCCTATCCTACAGAACAATAAGGACAGGAAGACTGTAAGGATACACTCAAAGGCCACGACCTGTCTAAAATCCCAATGCTTGTAAAAAAAAGAGTGGTCTCAGCCTAGCAAATACCCTAACTGTCATCATAGAGCCTTTGTCCAGTGACTGATGGAGGCAGATACAGAGATCCACGGCCAAGCACCAGGCTGAGCTCCGGGAATCCAACTGATGAGAGAGAGGAGAGATACTGCAGGTGAGGGACGTCGAGATCACGATGGGAGGACGTGCAGAGATGACGGACCACACTAGTGGAAGCCCATGACCTGTGGACTGGTGGCTGTGGAGCCCCCCATGGGACTGGACTAGGACCTCTGCATACGGAAGACGGTTTTTTGGCTCAAATTGTTTGGGGGACACCCAGGCAGGGAGATCTGTCCCTGGTCTATGGGCAGGCTTCTGGAATCCAGTGCTGTGGTGTGACACCTTGCACAGCCTTGGTGCAGTGGGAAGGGGCTTGGACCTGCCTAGGCTCAGTGTGCTGGGCTTTGCTGACTCCCCATGGGAAACCTCAATTTGGGAGATGTGGGGATGTGGGGTGGCTTGGGAAAGAGGGCTGGGGGGGTGGGAGGAGGGAGGAGGGGGGGTCTGTGGATAGCATGTGGAGTGAGTAGAAAATTTCCTAATAAAGAAAAATGAAAAAAAAAGAGTGGTCTCTGTAACATGTTGATTTCTGCATGTCATATTCCTCAGTTTCACCTACTACTCTTAAAATATATGATATGCTAAGAGTCTTAGGATCCTTGTTAGATATGTTGAGCATTTACCACATAGGATACTGCTATTTTCAGTGTTTCACATTTCTAAAAGGAAAAGAACATTTTCCATCAATATGAGGGTATTGTATTTTCTTTTTTGTGGTTTGGGTATGGAACCTTACAAATGCTGGGCAAGTGCTCTACCACTGGGCTACTACTTCCCCTGCCCCAATCTATTGGATTTGTATATTATTTTTAGCTATATACTACTGAACAGAACAGAATTTAAGTGGCTAAGTGGTCCATCCAAGTTTGAGGTTTCTAAAAAAGAAAACTGAAACTGTAAACAACATGATAAAAGATCGGAAAAATCTCTTTCAAAGTTGGTGCTCTTCTGGCATGGTTTTCTTGTAGAAAAATATGCATGACATGATTTTTAAAAGAAAGTCAAAATTAACACAAAATTTACCATCTTAACTGTTTTAGGAGTATACTTCAGTGGTAGTAAGAATATCCTTATTACTCAACCGTCACCACTACCCACTTCCAGATCTTTTTCATTACGTCCTACTACCTTGGTGGTGGATACAGAAGATGTTTTGCAACAAATGGGAGGCACAGAAGGCAAAAGAGTGCCTCTCTCTGAGGACAACCACAGCTGCCTCACAACCAGCAGCCAGGCCCTGCCTACCATTTACTTCTGAAACTGGAGGAGACTAGAATGACGTTTAGTTTTTTTGTTTTTGTTGTTTTTTTTTTTCTTTTCTCTAGGCAAAGCAGACATTATTAATTCTTCCTGAGCTGGAGCAAGAGCAGGGACAGAACATTAACTTTCTGCTTCCAGGACTGTTACAAACAATCTCATAATCAAAACCATCAATTTCACTGCTGTGGCCACTAGATTCCCACCTACAACTGCAGCCCAGTCTGGGAATTGGGACTTCTATCATGAGGCATTCAAGGGACCCAGTGTTGAGTTGGCCTGATTCTGAGGACTGCACTGCTGCCTCTTCCTAGGACAATATGTCCATGTGATAATGGAAGTTCTGCCCAGCAGTTCCCTATGTCCCTAAAGCCTGTCTTCCTCTTGCCAGTTTGCCCAGGGTAAATCAGTGGTTCTCAAATATCATGGCATGTGAGTCACCTGGAAGCCCTGCTAAAGAGATAGCTAATCCACATCCTTACACTGCCTAATTCAATTAGTATGGGACAGAGCCTGAGAATTTACATCTCTGACAAGTTCCCAGGAGGTGCTAATCCTACTGATCTTAAGGCCATGCTTGGAGAACCTGTGATCTATCCTTCCCCAAGTTACCAGTCAACTATAGTCTATGTACTTGACATATCATCAAACTGAGGTCTGAAGGGTAAGAAAAGCACAGTTAACTAACTGAGAACCCCAAATAGGACCTTCACACCAGAGGAGAGCACACACCTCATGCTGCAATAAGGAAAGTGAGTATGGCACCAATACTAAGGAGAAAGCATGAAGGCCAGAGCACAGACTGTGCAGTAAGGGCAGGCTGAAAGTCGCCTGCAACTATCAGCTTTGGACAATGAGTCTCTAGACTTCTAAGTGTATGAATGGTATCTTAACTTTTCTTGGATTAATATTCAAACTAGCATGCATTCTCTGAACAGTGACATTACTGGAAGGAGGGCTGGCACTGAGGTAAATAGTGAGGAAAAACTTTTTTTTTTTTGGTTTTTTTGAGACAGGGTTTCTCTGTATAGTTTTGGTTCCTGTCCTGGATCTCACTCTGTAGACCAGGCTGGCCTCAAACTCACAGAGATCCGCCTGGCTCTGCCTCCCGAGTGCTGGGATTAAAGGCCTGCACCACCACCGCCCGGTGTGAGGAGACACTTTTAAGTTGGCTATGAAATAATTTTTAGTTTGGTGTAATAAGAACTGCAAAATAAAATAAATCAGGAGAGCTATCAGTCACACAAAAGCAGGACTGGGGGACATACTTGCTTACTGGGTCTGACTTACCTGGGCAAAGGCAATGGCTTGTTGTGGGTAATAGATAGAGGCACCTAATCCCATGAAAAAAGGAGGATACACCAGCTTCTTTAGTTTTGAACCTGATCAATAAAAATTTGGACATTATCAGATGATATCCTTACTCTCACAATTTACTTTATACTTTTAATGCCAAACAAGGTATCTTTGACTCTGCTGTGGATGTCGCTCTGTATAAATAAAATGCTGATTGGCCAGTTGCCAGGCAGGAAGTATAGGTGGGACAAGCAGAGAAGAGAATTCTGGGAACAGGAAGGCTGAGTCAGGAGACATTGCCAGCCGCTGCCATGAGTACCAACATGTAAGATACTGGTAAGCTACAAGTCATGTGGCAAGGTACAGATTTATAGAAATGGGTTAATTTAAGATGTAAGAACTGGATAGCAAGAAGCCTGAGCCATTAGACCAAACAGTTTAAATAATATAAGCGTCTGTGTGTTTATTTTATAAGTGGTCTGTTGGATTGCCGGGGCTTGGTGGGACCCAGAGAGAAAACTCCAGCTACATGACTCTAAATTGTAATATTACTTAATAGTACATACAATAAAACGAATTGCTACTTCTTTACAGCTTTGTGATATAATTATACATTTCACCCATTTAAAGTACAAAATACAAAGACTTAGCATAGTCACAAAGCTCTGTAACCATCATCACAACTCCGTTATTCTCAAAAGAAACCCCCCACCTTTGATGGTAAAACATATGCTTAGCATGCACAAGGCCCTGAAATTCCCAGCACCAAGAAATGAAGAAAGGAAGGTAGGAAGATAGGAAGGTAGGTAGGTACGAAGGAAGGAAGGAAGCTAGGAAGGTAGGTAGGTAAGTGTGAAGGAAGGAAAGAAGGAAGGAAGGAAGGGAGGGAGGGAGGGAGGGAGGGAGGGAGGGAGGGAGGGAGGGAGGGAGGGAGGGAGGAAGGAAGGAAGGAAGGAAGGAAGGAAGGAAGGAAGGAAGGAAGCTCAGCCAGCCAGCCAGCCACATCCTCCATCAATAACAACCACATAATGCTGAGGTTGAGAGAAACCTATTTTCAATCTCTATGTATTTGCCTACTCTGGCAATTTTATACACATAGTATCATACAAAGTGTGATCCTTTGGGACTGACTTCCTTCAGTCAACAAATATTTCAATAGAGCCACCATTTATTAATTATTAAGGTGTCAGGTGGTGGTGACATATGCATGCCTTTAACTCCAGCAGTCAGGAGGCACAAGTAGGTGGATCTCTGTGAGTTTGAGGTCAGCCTGACCTACACAGTGAGTTCCAGGACAGCTAGAGCTACACAGAGAAACCTTGTCTCAAAAACAATCAAAAATATTAAGTATTAAGGCAATGTAGTCTAAGTTGGCCTAAAGGTATGTACTCCTTTGCCTTTTTTCCAGGTTTTATTTGTTTGATTGTGTGGCTTTGCTTTTCTGGCTTCATTTTGCTTTTTGAGATGGTCTCACTATGTAGCCCAGACTAGTCTTGAACTTGTTATTTTTCTGCCTCTGTCTCCTATGTAGTAGGATTACAGGTGTGGGATTACAGTGTTGGGACTACCAGCATGCCCAACTTGAGAACGTTTCTAAGGAAACAAACTTAAAAAATAATAATAATAATTTTGTTTCTAGGGTTTGATTTTTTTAAAGCAAACTGACCACCTTCGTATTTAAATACAAAAGACAATTGTTCCATTCCTCTCCTTCCTGAGATTTCATTAAAACAGCAGTAAGAAAATAAAATACAGATCAGAAACCCCTGGCATATAAATCATGCAGGTTGGGAATGTAGGTCAGTGGTAGATTACTTGCTTAGCTTAAGTAAAGCCCTGTGTTTCATTCCCAGCACCACAAAAAAAGTATCACCTGCTAGGACTATAGCACAGTTGGTAGAGCATTTGACTGGCACGTATGAGGCCCCAGGTTGTTCCCCAGTAACACACACACACACACACACACACACACACCAATTAAAAAAGAGTATGGATGCCGGGCGGTGGTGTCGCACACCTTTAATCCCAGCACTCGGGAGGCAGAGTCAGGCTGGTCTCTGTGAGTTCAAGGCCAGCCTGGGCTACAGAGTGAGTTCCAGGAAAGGCGCAAAGCTACACAGAGGAACCCTGTCTCGAAAAACCAAAAAAAAAAAAAAAAAGAGTATGGACAGAAATGAAAGACCAGTTGGCATTGTCTTGAAGAAGGGATGTGTGGCAAAGGAGAGAGCAGATCTTCCCAAGGCACAGATGGCAATGACTATGGGCAATAGAGAGAGCAACCAGGAAGCAAGACAGGAAGATAAATACAAGTCCTGTCCATGGAGTGGGTGACTCCTTTCTTCCCTCCATGCCATCCCAGTGCAAACCTGCTCCCGGAAGTCGTGACAGGCCAATTTCAAAAGCAGGGCCAAGTCTCACGAAGAAAAAAAAATCATTAATTTTATGCTGAGAACCAATACTACACACACACACACACACACACACACACACACACACACACACACACCAGTGTTAGTGCTTAAGACCTCCACACAAAGGCAGCTCCCATCATCCAGCTTGCCCTAACATAGAACCTGCCTACCAGCAAGCCATATCTATACACAGAGTTCTTACTAGCATTTCAATTGCCTCATTCAGAAACATGACTGGACAACCAGGGATCAGCAGACATTGGAGGAGAGCCTGCAACATAAAACAGAAAGACCAAGACAAGCAAGAAGAAAATCAAATGACCCAACAGGAAACAGAACTGTAAAAACAAAGCTAAACCTGTTAAGTGTCATCGAATCAACAGAAGCTACTACACTAGACAAAAACAGTTCAACATAAAAACGAACAGCCACAGAAAAAGACCTCATGGAAATGACCAAAGGAAAATATTCAAAAAATGAAAAAAAATAAGCAAGGAAACATAAGACACACTATGGCCATTTAGAAAGAACTCAATTCTTAATTAAAAGCATTCAGGAAGGAAAAAGAAAGCAAATCCTCAAAGAAAAAGCAGATACGTATCACTCTGGAGCTAAAGAAGGCACAGTACAAGGGCTAAAAGTATCTGCATGTAGTCACCATGCCATACAAATTCAGAACATTGAAGATCTTCAAATTGTCCAAGAATTTAAAAAAAGGAGAAGCAACAAGTATCCAGACTGGCTATCCATTCTGCCATCTGCAATGTCAGATGCTAGTTTGGATGGAAAAGAACTCCAAGCTATCTAAACTGTCAGTATAAGGAATAGATATATAAGGTATTGGCAAGTTTGCCTCTCATAATTTTTTTAAAAGCAACTTAAGCATGTAGTTCACCAACATGGCTTGAACACACCACGAAGAAGGTGACATAAAAGCCCAGAAAATAGGGCTCAATAGTGGATCTGAGAAGTCCAGGCCAGGTTACAGGGTGATACAGAACTAGGCAGATACTAAGTTTGGAGAACCTAGCAACGAGGTGAAAACAAATGGTAGAGGGTGAAAGAGGAAAACGTGCGGGGCTTTATTCCTCAGCGGAACCAAGGAGGGCACCAGTGCAGTGTTCAGCCTCTGCCTCTAAAACCACTTTCTGCACGAAGAGGGAAGCCTTAGAGCAACCGCTATAAATCTCTGCTTCTCTTTTATGGTGGTCAGATTACAGAGTTCTTTGTTGGGATATTTCTATTTGGAATTTTTGTTTGTTGTGTTTTGTTTGAGAGAGAATCTCAGTCTGTAGGCCAGGCTGGCCTGGAACTCACTATGTAGCCCAGACTGGTCTTAAGGCAAGCTTCTTGCCTCAGCCTCCTGAAAGCTAGAATTACAGGTATGAACCATCACACTAAGCTTCTAATTGGAATTTTTGTAATATCTGTATTTTATGCCATAAACATTTATTTTACAACTAGTAAAATTCCAGATATATCATAAAAATAATTTCTTCCTAGAGAAACCTTTTACCACCATTTTGTGATACAGCAGTAAAATAGAGTAATATTTTCTTGTCTTGGGGTAGAGCCTAGGGCCTCAAGCACACTAGGCAAGCATTCTGCCAGAGGTATCCGGCCCAGCCCTACAGTAATATTTGGGGATACTTACGATGTTCTTTAATTGTAAGCATTTGTAAAGTCTCTATATCATCACTAACTGAAGGTGTGACAGCTGAAGAAGTTAAAAAACTAGTAAATCACTGTCCTACTTGCTGTGATTAATAGCCTGATCCTAACAGTTCCAACATTTACAGTTTGACAGGTGTGAAAGACTTTGTTCACTCTTTCTATACCAAAGAGCAATAGATATTTGAACAAGCAGATGTGCTTATTAATTATAACTAATTTCTTTTTCTTACCAAGAATATACAATTTCTATGTATGTTTAACATCAAATGTAATGGGGTGAACAAGGAAATGAATTATATGTTAAGAAGTCCGGTGGCGCACGCCTTTAATCCCAGCACTCGGGAGGCAGAGCCAGGCGGATCTCTGTGAGTTCGAGGCCAGCCTGGTCTCCCAAGCGAGTTCCAGGAAAGGCGCAAAGCTACACAGAGAAACCCTGTCTCGAAAAAACCAAAAAAAAAAAAAAAAAAAAAAAAGTCCACATTTAGGAACCAATTAATCTGAAAACAAGTAAATATAGATAAAGAACCTAACATATATCCCATCTCTCCCATATAAACTGACTGGGAGATATAATAAACCTACAAAATTGCACCTACCTCTAGCAAAAAGGAGTCCAATAAAACCAGCAAAACCAATAACACCAAGTCTTGGGAAAAATCCAGGAGGTGCACTTTGGAGATAATCATAGCTGTCTACAATAGAATCAGATTGGGAAATAACTCCATAAATTACTCATTAAACCCAAAGCAAAAACTCATACATAACTAGACACACAGTACCAAATGTTTCCCAACCACCCATCCTTTGCTTTCTGCTAACAGACATTTGTTTTTTGGTTTCTTAGGTCTGGTTTCATTTAGTACGGAGAGGCTTTGAACTCATGATCATCCCACCTCACCTCCCAAGTGTTCGGATTGGAGGTGTGTGTCAGCAAGACCAGCTCACACTTTTTTAAAGATAGTCTGGCTATGTGGCCCACGCTGAATTTAAACTTGCATTATATCCCAAACAGGCTTGGAACTGGCAAACCTGCTTCGCCTTCTGAGAGATGGGATTCTGGATGCACACCACCAGGGCCAACTGTGTGTGTCAATATGCTTCTTTTCAACACATTCTTTCAGGAACCAAACACATTCAACTCAGAAAAGCAAGCATCCTTTGCCATCTGAACTTTTTATTTGAACTCAAGAACAATATATTTGGATAATGAAGGAAAATTTGTGATGGCTAGGTTCTGGTCAACTTGACACAAGCCAAGGGTCATCTGGCAAGAGGAACTTCAATTGAAAAAAGGACTCTATCAGAATGGCTTGTAGGCAAGTCTATAGGGCATTTTCTTGATTAATGGCTGATGATATGGGAAGGCCCATCTCACTGGGGGTGGGGCCACCCATAGGAAAGTGGTCCTGACTGCTATAAGAAAGCAAACTGAATGAGAAACCTTGGAACACTCAGCCCTAAATGGGAAGTCTCTATCAAATCCCTCCCCTAGAGGCTCAGGGACCCCACGGAAGAGGAGGAAGAAATAGTGTAAGAGCCAGAGGGGTTGGAAGACACCAAGAAAACAAGGTCCTCTAAATCAACATGAGCAAAGCTCACATGAACTCACAGAGACTGAAGCAGCATGCACAGGGCCTGGCCAGGTCTGCACCAGGTCCTTTGCTTATATATTACGGCTCCCAGTTTAGTTTATGGGATTCCTAAGTATGCAAACAAGTGAGTCTCTGATTCTTGTGCCTTCTCTGGGGCTCTTTTCCTTTTGTTTGTTTTGTCAAATTCCAATGTGTTATTTATCTTATTATATTATATTATATTATACATGACCTTATTTGCCATGCCTACGTATGTCTTAGGACTTGGATTTGCACGATGTCTCCTCTCCTCTCCTCTCTATGGAGCCAGCCAGTCTCCCAGCGAATTAGAGCCTGCTTAGGCATTGTCTCCTCTGGAGAGCTCATCCGAAGCTCATCAGCATAGAGCCTGCCTCCTTCTCTGAAGTACCATCAGATGTGATTCTCTGCACCACCCTTGCTATCTCATCCTAGGGTAGCTCGTACTTCACATTCATGTGTGTCTATTCTCTCCACACAGAACATATGTTCCCTCACGGTGGATTGCTTAGACACGTTTTAAGACTGCACCTGAAGCCAAAGCCTAGCTTCTTCTGGCTATATGCCTTAACTGTGACTGCTGGAAAATGGACTCACTGTCTTGGTATAATGGAATGCTTCTTCTAGGAGTCTTTGTAGTAACTCTGTGTTCAGGAGGAGAAAAACAAATATCTCAAATAATGCCTGCTGCCATTAATCAGTGGGAAATGACAGGTTAACAGTGAGGGTCACTCCTCGGTTACAGGTCTTATTCTGCCATGAGAACAAACCCCTGGAAAAGCAAGACTTTAATGTGCTGAGATATCCTAAAGAGAATTAAATACTTGTCAATATCTCTACTGTTTAACTAATTCCAGGCTGAAATTAGACAAAACATAGATCATAAACTCAGTCTGTGGGTGCACATGGTAAGTGCCCATAAGTGAGACACAATCAAGGACAATAAAATCTAAAAAATGTAAGAACACTACTATTTATGGAAAAACCTCTCCCAAATACAGAAGCTCAGTTCCTTCCTGCACCTAGATTTGTACAGCTTTTTTTTTAAATAAGTTTTTGTTTGTTTGTTTTGGGTTTTTTTTAGACAGGCTCTATGTAGTTCTGGCTGTCCTGGAGCTCACTATATAGAACAGGCTCCCTTGAAATTGCAGAGATCCAGCTGCCTTTGCCTCTGCCTCCTAAGTATTGGGATTAAAGGCATGAGCCACCACGCCCGGCCTGTGCAACATTTATTAATGGCAACTAATGAATTACTATGATTCAGAAAATCTGGTGAGGAGTAAGCTCACATTGCAGTTTTTTTTTAGCACTGGACCTCACATAAGCTAAGAAAACATTCTGCTACTGAACTACATATCCCCAGCCTGAACATTTTTTGTTTAATTCAGGGCACAAGCACTTGCTAGCCCAACAATCCTAATAATGTTGAAGAGATTGATGAACTCTGAAATCTGATTCAAACATAGATTGTCTTCCAGAAAACATCTACATAGCTCTAAATTTTTCCATTCAATTTCAATGACTCTATGGTCTCCAATACCTATTCATGAAAACCCAGTTCAATAGTTCAATAGGATGAAGTAACTGATTGTGCTTCATTAAAACTCAACTTACCTAATCCCCACTGGAAGAAGCGTTCCACCCTGGGTCTAGTTTGGGAGTATATTTCCTAAGAAGATAAAAAGAAACAGAATGAGTAGGTTTGTTGATTGGAATCATTATTAACCCTGTTCAGTATTAGAGATGAATCTTGAGCCTCCAGCAGATTAAGCATATACACTACCATTGAGCTACACCTCTAGCTATTAACAGTTTTTAAACAAAGTGATCTACTTTAATTTTATTGCCTTTTTTATCTTTTGTAATTTCCCTTTCACTAGTAGCCTGTTCATCAGAATGCTTTACTATTGCCACAGGCAGCAAAGATTTCAGTAGAATGGTTTTTTAACAACCTACTCCTCTAACTCCTAAGACTGAAGGAAATAAAATTGAGGAGTTAGAGAGATAGCTAGCTCAGTGGTTAAGAGCACACATTTTGGGCTGGAGAAATGGCACAGAGGTTACGAGCACTGGCTGCTCTTCCAGAGGACCCGGGTTCAATTTCCAGCACCCACATGGCAGTTCACAACTGTCTGTAACTCCACTTCCAGAGGATCTGACACCCTCATACAGACATACATTAAATAAATAAACCTTTTAAAAAAAAAGCACACTTTTTTTTTCTTTGCATAGGACAAGAGTTCAATTCCCAACACCCATGTCAGGTGGCTTACAACTAAGTGTAACTCAAGCTCCAGGAGGATTCAATGCCTCTGTTCCTCACGGACACTTTAAGTCAGGTACACATATCCACACACACTTAAAAATAACAAAAAAAGCCAGGCGGTGGCGGAACACTCCTTTAGTCCCAGCACTCGGGAGGCAGAGCCAGGTGGATCTCTGTGAGTTCAAGGCCAGCCTGGTCTACACAGCAAATCCAGGACAGGCACCAAAACGACACAGAGAAACCCTGTCTCAAAAAACTAAAAAAAAAAAAAAATCCTAAAAACAAGACAAAATTGATATTCTTGATAATCAGAGGTGATCCTTTCCCCATGAGATTATTAACACTGTCTTTCAAATCAAGGCTATTTTATTATTTGCCATGATTTTAGAGCCTACATTTGGAAAATGCTGCTTTGAAACAGGAATGGGCAGCTTTACTGAGACCAATGAGTTGATAAGTCAATTTTAAAAAGACATCCCAATCCTAAAGTAAAAGAAGTTATCAACATTCTCTTAACAATACAATGGCTTTGAGGAGCTAGAGATGTCCCTCAGTGGCAGCGCTTACCCAGCATGAGTAAGGAACTGAGCTTTATCACTAGCTCTGGCAAGCAAACAAATAAACAGGTCCCCACCCCAAAACAAAATAAAAGTGCAACCAATAAAATGGATTGTACATGGGGCTGGAGCAATGGTTCAGCAGTTATATTCTTGCAGAAGACCTGGGTTTGATTGTCAGCTTCTGGATAGGGGCTCACAGCCATCTGTAACTGTAATCCAGGGAACAGGACACTCTCTTCCACATGGTGCACAGACATACATGCAAGCAAAACACCCATACATATAAAGTAAATAATAAATAAAGATTTAAAAAATGGCTTGTACATGAATATCAAATGGTCCTAAAGGAAATGAGGACTTAGCTAAAAGAACCTTCAAGAACTCTACAGTGGAGAAGGAAAGTAATACAGGGATTATCAAAGAGTATCAGAACTAGCTGTCACTTAGGAAAGGATTGTTTTATAAATGTTGGTCCAAATCAAAACTAGTTATCCACATACTTTTAAATGGGCTTGTATAATGAATGCTGAACGTGGAGGAGGATGGGAAGAACTGATATCACTTCATTAAAAATCAACTATTGTTTTCATGTTGGCTACACCTGCTTTTTTCCATCTGTAGAAAGAAAAAAAAACAGAGGGCTGGAGATATGGCTCAGTTGTTAAGAACGCTTGTGGTATAGTCATGAAGTCTGGAGTTCAGATCCCAGCACCCATTTAACAAGCCAGCTATCCCCAAAACACCTCTAACTCTAGCTCTGAGCAATCTGATGCTCTCTTCTGGCCTCCATGTGTGCATACACTCTCACAGGTGCACATATATGCACACATACACACACAAACACACATACAAATAATAAAATCCATCTTTTTTAAAATGAGAAAAAACTGCCAGGCAGCAGTGGCGCACACCTTTAATCCCAGCACTCAGGAAGCAGAGCCAGGTGAATCTCTGTGAGCTCGAGACCAGCCTGGTCTACAGAACGAGATCCAGGACAGGTACCAAAACTACAGAGAAACCCTGTCTCGAAAAACCAAAGAGAGAGAGAGAGAGAGAGAGAGAGAGAGAGAGAGAGAGAGAGAGAGAGAGAGAGAGAAAGAGAGGGAGAGAGAGAGAGAGAGAGAGAGAGAGAGAGAGAGAGAGAGAGAGAACTATATATCAAAGTCTAGAGGGACAGTCTATTTATTTTGCTGGCTTAATCATTTTGCCATTTTAAAGTTTCGATCAGTTCTTCAAGAAAGAACAAGAAATTTCATTCTTCATGAAGAAGTCAATGTACCTAATAAAGCCATCCTAATTACAAGAAAAGTTTCCTGTTTATCAGTATTAAAATAAGCATGTTAATAACCAGCATATGATGTAGACAGATATTTTGTTGCACCAAGTATCACAGAAAAAAAGTATTTTAAAAAAATCTCAAGTTGAAAGGTAAAGAGACAAAGTCCTTTTTTTCCTAAGACAGGGTCTCCTTATGTAGCCTAGGCAGGCTCCAACCTAGGAGCAACCATCCTGCTTCAGCATCTTTAGTGCTGGGCTCCCAGGCATGTGCCACCACAACCAGCTGACAAAAATATTTTCATTACACAACAAAACGGGCCAGGGAACAGCTCAGTAGTAAAGTGTGTGTGTAGTGTGCTTATAGCGTTGATAGAGCTTGTGTGTGCTTTTTTCCAATTGTCAGTTGAGCAATGGCATAATTGATGAAATTTAAATTTTAACCAAAAACCCTAGCCATGGCTAAAGAGTATCTGAGTGCTGTAATAGAAGGTAGATACCATAATAAGGCAAACTTTGGTTTCAGATGACTTAAAATCAGAATACATTCATGTCCACAACAACAAATGCCTGGAACCTAAAACATGAGCAAGGACAGAAGCCACTGGAGTGAACAGTTCACCAAAGTTTGGTTGGTTGGTTTTTCCTTGCTTGTTTGTTTTTCAGACAGGGTCTCTCTGTGTAGCCCTGGCTGTCCCAGAACTATGTAGACCAGGCTGGCCTCAGACCTCACAGAGATCTGCCTGCCTCTGCCCACAGAGTGCTGGGATTAAAGGTGTGTACCACCACACCTGGGTAGTCATGTCTGTATGACTATCCCTTATCTGAAATATATAGGAACAGATGTTTGTTAGGTTTCAGAGTTTTTGGCTTTTTGAGTTTTTTGCATTTATAGATTGAACATCCCTAGTATGAAACTCTAAATCCAAATTAATCTTGGATTACGAATGCTCAGCCTGTAGTGATTTGTAGAAATTCTAGAGGGAGAAAGAAATCTCAATTTTCTGTATGTGTATACATGATAAGCATGTACAGGTATGTGGTGTGTATACAGGTTTGTGTTGCCTGTGTGTGAGTGCAAGTTTGGGTACAGGTATTCACACATGTGTGCACATGTTGTGAGGAAGTCAAAAGTCACCCTTGGGTGTCATTCCTCGGCAGCCAGCTACCTTGTTTATTAAGATGGATGTCTCAGTAGGACCTTGGTGTTGATTAGGCTGGCCAGTGAGCACCAGGGATCTAGCAAACTCTGTTACCCTAGCACTGGGACTGCAGTATATGCCACCATGCCTACCTTTTAGTGGGTACTGGGGACCGACCCCAGGTCCTCACTAATAACTGAGCCCTCTCTCCATCCCAACATCACAATTTTGATAGACATTTTTATGTTTGATTCATTTCCTTCCAGTAGTATTCCATGTTTTCCCTGATACATACAACAGCTTTATACTAACAAACCAACAAGGTAATCCTTTGCCCTCTGCTCTCCAGTCAAGGCGCCACAACCTTTCTGGTGGGAGGGAAATCCCCCTTGCTGCCACCATGATACCAGATTTCACTGCATCTGCTCTCTGGTTAGCATTTAAGAACACTTATAAGTCAGACGCTCTTAACTTTGGACTCTTTATTACACCTTTTTCTAAAACATGAAGTCAGGGCTGGGCCTGATGGCTTACAGCTGTAATTCCAGCACCTATGCTGGTCAATGAGGCAGGAAGATCACCAGCCAGTCTGAGGACAATGTAGTCAATTCCAGGCCAACCCTACAGAGTGAGATCCTAAGAAACTAAAATAAATCAATAAATAAACAGTCATTAATAAATAAATAGTAATTAATAAATAAATTATGAAACTAAAAATTCAAACATACAACCAATAGAGACTTTTCACTATTAACTCTTAAGTAGATGTACCTGACACCAACTTGTATATGGCTCACACTGATGTCGGAGTTGTGAGATGTTTTCTTCAAGTTGAGTCCTTGGCTCCTCCACATATTTAGATTGATTCTCAGGAACTGAGTAGAGTGAAAGCTACACGTATTAAAACAAAAAGAAAAGCATATACTATGAGACCATGTAACATATGATCAATTTTGTAGGTTAATATTGCTAATAATTTGTAAATACCAGTTACCTTAAGGGTTGTATGCAACCTCTAACTTTCCTTCAGATGATCTGTGTGCCTTGCTTCCTCAATAAGGTCAAGGCCAAGAGGGCAGGACTACACAGTGTCCTGGCTTCTCCCTATCTACTCTATCCACTGTTTTGTTTTGGGAGTGTGGAGTAACTACTGAACCTAGGGCCTCAAGCAAGCAAGGCCAGCACCTCCAGTCCGCTGATCCACTTTACAGATTGGAACCTGGTGTCTGACCTCAAACTATTCTACTATGCTAAAGGGTAAATGGAGGAGGTTTACTTGCGGGGAGGGCACAAGTCATGGCGCATGTGTGGCGGCGGTCTGAAAACAACTTTCTGAGAGTCAGTTTTCTCCTACCATGTGGGTCTCAGGGATCGAACTAAGTCATCAGGCTTGGCAGCAAGTGCTTTTATCACTGAGCCATATTACCAGCCCTTGAATTTTGTTTTGTTTTTAAGAAAAAAAGCTGAGAGGAATTGAAGAATAATTGATTACATGGATCAAATATCAGAATGCTACTGATCAAAGCAGGTGAACAAATTCATTGTCTACCTAGAAAAGGGCCTTCTCAGTAGACACTACTAGCCACCTCTTCCCGTCGACAATGCTACTGTTCTAAAGCCTGAGAGGAGAGGAAGGGAAAAAGGAAGCTTACTGGCTTTATGTAAACACCATTCAAGTAACCTTGCCTGGCCACTAGGGGCACCTGTACATCATTTTATTCCAAGGCAACAGAAATTGAAGAAAATAAAAAATCCAAATAATTACTGGGAGGTACAGACCAAAAAAAAAGAATATAAATGATGAAGAAAAGATGTCTTATTTCACTGATCTATTATATACTAATATTTATTTAAGCTTCTTTGAAAGAAAAATAAGAAAAGTTTTCTTAGCTTGCTGAGCAGTGCAGAATCAGGCAGGCCACTCTGAAAAGTGAGCTGTACAGAGCCCCACAGCTGGATAGTGGGCAGAGAGTGAGAGATGTTGGGACACACAGTCCTAATGGCATGTCTTCACCAAGCCCTGCCCTCGGCTCTGGGAAGTATACAGAAGAGGAGAGCTGGAAGAACCAGAGGGGATGGAGGACAGTGAAAACAGTGTCTTTCAGACACAAGAGGACTGGAGCACATATGAAGCCAGCATGCACAGGGCCTGCACAGGTTCAAGCTAGACAGGGTCCCAGTGCTGAGAGGGGAAAGTAGACGCAGGCTACTATCCCTAACCAAGAAGCTATCTCCAATTGACTACTTCTTGCAAAGGAAAAATTAGTTCTCTCCAGTGGAGTCTCACTGGGGATATTAAACACATTTAAGAACAGGTCCCACCAGGCGGCGGTAGCATACACCTTTAATCCCAGCACTCAGGACACAAAGCCAGGCAGATCTCTATGAGTTCGAGGCCAGCCTGGTCTACAGAGCAAGATCCAAGACAGGCACCAAAACTACAGAGAAATGCTGTCTCAAACAAAACAAAAAGAACAGGTCCCATACCTAGCAGTAAATGGCCAACACAAAATGAGTTCAATGGTATTTTTGTAGACTTTTGTCCCATATTGCTTTGTTTGGGCATTTTATTTTCTTACTGGCCTTTTTCTGTATATTATAGTTTCCAATTTTGTTTTTATGGAGAGAGAAATGTTTCTTGTGGTTTTTGTTTTTTTTTTAAATTATGATTTGTTTGGTTTTTCTGTCTGTCTACTGTTTTCTAAAGAAAGAGAAGTGTAGAGTTGGGTGGGTGGACAGGTGAAAAGGATCTAGGAGGAGTTGGGGTGGGAAAACAGTGATCAAAATACACTGTATGAAAAAAATTTCTCGAATTAAAAAAATAGGTATGTACTAAGAAAAAGGAAAAGTGAGCCGTGTTTAAAATCCACTGGGATATAGTAAGCTCTCCACTAAAAACTAAATCTATGAGCTATTTCTTAATTATGCTCCTAGGTAAATTCCACTACCATCTGTGGAAAAAACAGAGTTCAGCAATTTCCAATAGATAAAACAAATAAACTATCAGGAAATGTATATGTCTTCCTTTCGAATATTTTCAAAGTGTGCTAAGGGTATACGTTAGTATCCATCCAGTACCTCAAAGAGTAAAACTAAATCTTGATACGTAATTTATAAAAATTCTCCTAACTAAATCAGATGTTCACTCTGTACCATACAGTATCAGCACATTACCTCATCAACCTTCATGTAATTCTTGTAAGGTGAGTCCTTTTTGGGTGCTGCATAGACTCTGAAGGTGAGCAGGCTCAGGCTGGCTGGCCCCACACATCTCTGAATTACCTGAAATGCAAAGGCAATCTTAAATCTTTTCTCCATGCCACAAAGCAAGTACGACGAGGTCAGTAGGCCGATACCCTCAGCCATTCCCACCCAGAAAAGCTTAGTGCCCTTTCTGAAAAGTAAATGCATTTCAGAAATTCTGAGGATGTCAAAATACAAGCATGTGTTCTGGATGAGTTCAAATTTCAAAACTTCATCTTAATTTCTCAAAGATAAAATTCCAAAGCCTTCAATTGAAAAATTTAAAAAGACATAGCTAGGCAAATTGATACCAATCTATATACGAAAGATATATAAATCTCTGAAAAACATCCAACTCTAACTCACCATTCCTTCCTCACACCCACCTTTCTTTCTCTACATTGTGTCTCAGGAATGGTGACAATCTCATCAGAAACTCTGAGATCATTTGAAATTCACTCTCAGAATACAATAGATCAATATTAACTATAATCATTGTGCTGTGTACTAGATCTTTCCAACTGTATCTTCCTAAAATTTTGTATTCTTTGACTGATAACCTTCCTCAATTCAAATCCCAGCCACTGGTTGCTACCATTCTATCTGCTTCTATCAGTTCAGTATTTTTAGATTACATTGAAATAAGAGTACAATATGAAATAATGAACAATTACCTCCATTTAGACACACTATAATATATGCATACTTCAAAACATCGCGCATGTGTGTGTGTGTGTGTGTGTGTGTGTGTGTGTGTGTGTATTACATGCCTTTCTGCCCATTTAAGATTAAAATAAGCAGCTGGTGGTGGTGCATACCTTTAACCCCAGCACTCAGGAAGCAGAGGCAGGCGGATCTCTATAAGTTCGAGGCCAGCCTAGCCTATAGAGTGAGTTCCAGGACAGCCAGGGCTACAAAGTGAAAACCTGTCTCAAAAAAAAAATTACAATTAAATCCCAAGGTCATCTTCCCGACCACCATCAATCCTTTTGGTCACTGAGTTCTGGTAATTATGCCTATTAAATGATCTCACTTCTACCTGCTCTTCTTTATTCCTCCCGTGCAGTCCTTCCTTGAGCCCTCATTTCTTTCCTGGATTGTTTTTAGCAGCAACCTAAATGGCTGCCTAGCCATCTATGGATTCAAATCACCACAGGAGAAACTATAACGATTAATCTAAACTATATCCCTGATTAGATTCTTTCTATCCTTACTTGAGATTTTTTATTTATTACCTAGGACTTTTATGTGAACCAAAGATTTGCTATAACCAGCCACGACCACTTTCCCTATCCTCACTCTGACTCTGGTCACAAAACATAAACTTTCTGTATTTTTCTCGTGCTGTTTTCCAGCTACCTGGGTTCGCTGATTGCTAAGAATGCTTTGTCTTTTTCCAGAGAACTACCTTTTTAAAAGCAGGGAGGAGTCATGCTTTTACTTTATGTTTTTTCTGTCCATGTATTTATGCCTATCAAGTTCGGCCCTAGCAGGTTGGAATCCCTCTGAGAATGAGGTGTGTCTTATTCCTATTTCTACTGCTACAGCTGGGCCTAGCACAAAAGAGATGTTCAACAACTGCTCATTCATTGCCTGTTATGATACACAGGGAATAGAAGAGAGAAGAGTGAAGGATATCGTTTTATCTAGGTAGCCATGTTTTAGCATCTTAGAAATCATAATACTAAGATTTGCAGTAACTATAATACAAAAGACTAAGCCACTTGGTAATACAAATCCTTACTACAAGAATTCAGCTGCTTGGAACTCTCAAAGTAAGAACTCTAATATATTAATTTGTCAGAGGTTTTGAAGATAGCTAAATAAGGCCCAAACTGAGACAGAAAACTAAAAATTGGCTGAAACAAAAGCTGAATTGCCATCTCAGCTCTGCAAGCCCCAGGAGGACTGTCAGAGTTCCCTTGCCCATATGGCTAAATCTTTCTCTCTGGTGTGATTCTATTCTCCAGCACAATTTCTCTAATACGATACATTCTCTAGTGTAGATCCTCTTTCAACTTTTTTTTTTTTTTTTTTTTGGTTTTTCGAGACAGGGTTTCTCTGTGTAGCTTTGCGCCTTTCCTGGAACTCGCTTTGGAGACCAGGCTGGCCTCGAACTCACAGAGATCCGCCTGGCTCTGCCTCCCGAGTGCTGGGATTAAAGGCGTGCGCCACCACCGCCCGGCCCTCTTTCAACTTTTATTTCAGAGCCCATCAGGGACTTAATAGTCAGAGGAAACTAAGCAACTGCACCAGTATTTGCTTAGATGGGGCCCCACTAAATGCTGGAAAGGTGTAGGATGCCATTATTCACAAAGAAAACAAAAAACAAACAAAAAGTCAAAGGCCATCCTCCTCCCTTTGCCAATCAAGTAGCTGGGATTACAGGCATATGCCACCATAGCTGGTGGCTGCCATTATCTTAAATACCTTGTCGTTTCTTTGTCTCTCCCTTCTGAAGCTTGACAAGGACTTATGATTACAAAACCAATCCAGCCTGGTAAGCAGGATTTTACGTGATAACAATTAGAAGAAGCCAACTAGAACTTGATTTTCAAATCGATGTTTCATGCACACCTGCTAGATGTCAGACACAATAAAGTAGATATGGTCCCTGGCTGAAAAAGCTTCTGAAAAACTTCAGTTACTCAAAAAACCCAGGCAGCCAAGTATGCAGACTTCTTGAGTACAAGGTCAAACCTTGGGCTACAGAGTGAGATCAAGACCAGCCTAGGCCTCATAGCCAGGCCCTGTCTCAAACAAAAACCAAGTAAGACTCAGGCATAGACTAATTCTTCAGCTCTAGCCACAAGAGTCGATTCCTGGCAGTTAGCCAAGACAATAAATCTGGCACGGCCATAAACATTCAGATCATAATGGGTACACAGAAAGCTAAACTGCTTTTGCTGCTTTGCAAGTTAAAGAGTACCACCCAGAATTCTGCAGCTTGGGGACCACATTACTATCCCAGTAAAATTGCTTTAAAAACAAATGTAAAACTCAAGTTAATTAAGATGCTTCCAAATCCCCAAACCCCTGACAACTTGCCCTCTAATTCTATGGAGTATCCAGTGGATAGTCTCTTCATTTTTAAGGAGGAGGCCCGTGCTGGCCGGTTTTATGTCAACTTGACACAAGCTACAGCCATTTGAGAGATGGGAACCTCAACTGAGAAAATGTTACCATAAGATCAGGCTGCAGTTTAGCGTGTGGGGCATTTTCTTAATTAGTGATTATTGTGGGAGGGCCCAGCCCATTGTGAGTGGTGCCACCCCTGGGCTCTCCAAGAAAGCAGGCTGAGTACACTATGGAGAACAAACCAGTAAGCAGCACCCCTCCATGGCCACTGCATCAGCTCCTGCCTCCAGGTTCCTGCCCTGGCTTCCTTCAGTTATGAACTACAGTGTGAAAGCATAAGGCCTTTCCTCCCCAACTTGCTTTTGGTCGCGGTGTTTCAGCACAACAATGATAGCCCTAAGACAAGGTCCTTTATTTATTTTCCCAGAAGTACATACCTTTCATCTTACTAGGCTTTCCATTTAGATTATGTAGCTTTCCTTTTCAATTAAAGGTGTTTTGTGTGCCTATGGACATGCAGGGTTTCAGAATCATCAGAAGACTATTTGAAAAGCAGATTCCATCACTTTCCTCTAAAAAGTCTGACTCAGTAGATCTAAAGGAACCCAATAACGTATTCCCACCACAAGGCAAGTTTCAAAAATCACCATTCTACAAAATGCTTAGGGAACAGATACTCACCATAAGCTGAATAATCAAGTGCACTTATTTTTAAGAACATTTTAAAGACAATAAACTGAAATGAAAATTGTCTAAAACATTAAAAACAATAGCATGATTAATTTATACTCCAGAATATCCTCCCATCTTAATCAAGGTACAACTAATATTCTCCTCTTCCTTCTCCTCCTTTCCTTGAGGAGGGGTACTAGGGATTAAACCTAGGGGCTTGTGCATGCTAGGCAAGTGCTCTATACCACTTGAGCTACATCCCCAGCCCTGACACTCCACTCTTAATCCTCAACTATTACCTTAACCTTCTATCAGCCTTCTATCTCCCTCCATGAACAAATGTGGCTTTTGATTTTTAAAGATGTATTTCTCTGTTGTGTTGGCGGGAGTTACAGGTGCTTGTGAGTCACCTGATGTGGGCTCTGGGAACCAAACTCTGATCTTCTGAAAGAACAGCAGGTGCTTTCACTGCTGAACTTCTCTCCAGCACTTTTTTCTTTTCTTTGTTCTTCTTTTCTCTTTTTTAACAATTTCTGGACTTTTGTTTTATGGTTATGGTGGTACCGAGACTAGAACTCAGGCCCTTAGGCATGCTAGGCAAACTCTGTACCAGTAAGCTACATCCTAGACTATAATTTTAGTTTTTGAGACAGAGTCTTAGTAACCCAGCCTAGCTTTGAACTTGATATTTAGCCAGAGATGACCCTTAACTTCTGATCCTCATCTCTACCTGTTGGAATTATATGTGTGATCCACCATGCCCCGTTTATAAGAATCTAGGAGCCGGGCGGTGGTGGCGCACGCCTTTAATCCCAGCACTCGGGAGGCAGAGCCAGGCGGATCTCTGTGAGTTCGAGGCCAGCCTGGTCTCCAAAGCGAGTTCCAGGAAAGGCGCAAAGCTACACAGAGAAACCCTGTCTCTGAAAAACCAAAAAAAAAAAAAAAAAAAGAATCTAGGGCTTTGCACATAAGAGGCAAAGTACTCAACCAACTGGATTTTATTCCAAGTCCCTAAATGTATTTTAAAATAGACAATAATCACAAAAGTATGTACATTTTTAATTTAATAAAGCCACCCAACAGACTGATGTTTAGAGTCAGTGTTACTGGGAATGGCCTCTGGAAAGAGCAGTAACAAAAGAAACCAATGGTTTAAAACATGGGATGATTTTTTGAACACACCACAATCTTTGCAGCTATAGCCACAGACGCTACATGGGATCCCATTTAACAGCTGCTACTTTTGTAATATTAAAAATCGTTTCAATCAAGTTCCTTTTAATATCAAA